TAATTTCAATAGATTCAAGTGATTCTGGTACACTTTCGGCCATTTTACATAATAAATTATTAGCATCCAATCCTTTTCCATAACCAAATGAAATCTCCTTAATTCTTTAAAATTATTATTAAATATTGTTATAATTTGTTCGAGACTTAAATTTAGTAAATTTAATTCGGTAATCTTTGTACAATAATTCAAGATAGTTGAAAATGTATCGGATGGAATTGTGAGAAATAAATCTAGACAAATATTTTTTAAATTTGTGTTGGCCGTTTCGAGAATTTTTATAATAAATTCTTGAGAATAAACATTTAATGAAAAAATCGAATAAATATAATGAAAACTACTTAATTGGGTAAATAATGAAGCAAAGAATAAACTATCCGATTTATAAAGTAAACAATATTCAATATAAAGTTTTTTAAGTGAAGTAAATTGTCCAATTGGTGATGATTTCTCTTCGAAGTGATAAAAATCTACTGATTTTAAACGAAGACTCTCTAAGGTTTCTTTTTTACTGACTAAAACCCATAATAATGAATTACAATTTATATTACTATTACCAATAATTGATAGATTTTCTAATCGTTTTTGAACACTAATAAGTTTTTCTAATAATTGAACTTGAGATTCTGACTTAAATATCAAATCAATATTTAAAATATTATTACAAAATAGTGCTAATGATTCATATAATGGTCTAGTTAGTTCATCATTTGTTGTTGCCGAAACAAATGTTTCTAATTTATTAAATACTTTCGAAGCTCCAGGTAACTTGATAATTGAACCAATCAAATCATTATAATTTAGATCGTTAGAATAATTTTCCGGAATTTCCGTCATTTCAAAATAATTCAAAAATGAACAACGATTTATTAATAATTTACATATTTCAGTAAATAAAATTCCCGATTCGGTGGTGATGACGATTTCTACATTATTATTATAGCTATTACCTTGACTTGAATCAAAATATTCGGAAATAAAATAAGCCAAATTATCAATTCTAAATTTATGAGTGAATGATGGATAATCAAAAGTAGCTTGAGGCGGTGATGATGATAAAT